GATAGGAGCCACCTGGTCTAGTGGAAGGTGTCCCCAGTCATGGCAGGTGGGTTGGAATGAGTTGATCCTTGGCATCCCTTCCAATTCTGGCCACTCTATGATTCTGTAAAAGCCCCTGGTGGTAGGGATGACATGCTGTCCTCAGCAGTCCAGCCCTGCCAGCAGTAGTGGTGGTTTTGCTGCTAATATGGATCTACTTACTTCAGTAGAAGCTTCTCTATGCCTGACCCCCACAGAAAATGGAGAGAAGCAAATTCCTTCCCTTTTGCAGCCATTTTTTAACCAACTGGAAGACAATTATCACATTTGTATTCTGTGCCTCTCCTGGAAGTACTTCCTTGGTCCATAGACAGAAAAAAGTTGAAGGCCACTGCTCTGCACTAACCAATATTAATCAAAGCTCTCATTCCCTGTGAATGCAGCTTGTGAAATCATTCCTGTTTTCTGGACTTTCTTCTGATTCTCAGCCTCTCTTTCTCAGCTGCAGTTTGCCATCCCCTTCCCAGAGGCTGAGTGCAGCCCCCTTTCTGCCTTCTGGCTTGGTTTGCTTTTTCTGCACTTCTGCTCTATTCACACAAAAGCAGCTCTGTCTCGCCTGACACCAGTCTCCCCACAGTCCTGGGAACCAAGGCATAATCCTGCATCCCCTAGCAAAGCCATGGCATGTCCCCGGTCCCACTCATTATGGAGCTCAGGCAATGGGCCTACTCGTGCTGCCAAGTACAATTTCATGCCTGGCCAAACATAAACTATGCCTGGTCAAATGTCTTGGGACTTAAGTGCTCACCTTTAATCTGCCATTCACTCTTTCTGCCTCATTTAGAAAGAGCTACAATCTCTGTGCAGCTTGCAGGTAAAGCCTTACACTGACAATTCAAGACTTTCAGGTAGCATGAAGATGGCAGAAATACTACAACAGCCTTTTTCTGGAGTTTTCTGTGCCTTACATATTATTTTCTGGGAAAATGTATTCTAATGGTGTCGTATGAATTTACAAATACAAATTGAGAGTACTACACTAGAAGAGTATTTGCAGTGCTCTGTGTGACAGGGATCAAGGCAGGCAGGCAAAGTTCACGTGCTCAGTGTCCTCAAGCTGGGACTAGAGAAATTTCTAGTAGTTTTTGAAGAGTTAATCCACTTCTGCTACCCATTAATGTACATCAGCCTTCACCTTTTTCCAGTACTATCTTTTTGCTATAACAGTGATAGCAAATAATTTAAATCAATGCTCCAGCAACCTGACTGCTCTCTTACTCAGGTTTTATGGGGGAGGTGGGCCAATCCCAGTAGTAATGTCATGGTGTCATTAGCAGTATTACATAAAATTGTCCTCAAGGAATGGAAATGCACAGTGATGCTGAGCAGAGCATTCCTGTATCTGCCTAGTACCAAAGAACCAAAATGACTGGCTTTGGGGACTAAGTCCAACCAAAACAAGATTTCATTGAGAAAGATGCAAAATACATAAGATAAATGTTTGCTAAACACCGGTGCTTGGGAGAAGAGTGATATATAACTACTAAAGCAGTGAAGCCTAAAACTAATATAACTTTACTTTTCAGTCATCCCTGAGATAATAATGCCCTCGCACCTCTTGTCATCCCAGCTGTGTGTGCTGGGGTGGTGTCAGGCCACATCACTCAGCCTGTAAAGTGGATGCAATACATCATTCCTCTTCTTACTGATCATCCTTAATATTTTAAACCAACTGAGAGATCATTTCTGAAAGATACCACATAACAGGGAGCTAAACATTATAGTGGCGCTGCACTAAAAGGCACATTCCAGGAATATTTTGACTGATTAATTATGATCCCCAGCTGAGGCACAGCCTCCTGGGCAACGTCTTGGTATACTCTTCCTTTCTTGCTTCAAGTGAGTCTGTTTCCCATATCTTCCTTCCAGGAAAGAACAACTTCACAGAGCAAAATCGGTGAAATGGTGGCATCCAATGGCTGGTCTCAGATGGCCAATGCCAGCTCATGCACTCTGACTGCTGTCACTGACCTTTGCTTTTCACCCCAAACCAGAAGCAAACAGTATTGTGAAACATCAGAGACCTCTGAAACAAAAAAACCCCATCTTTCACCACCCACACAGCACTGTCAACTGTGCCAGATCTGCCTCCTTCCCCACCCACCCAAAAAATGCAACATTCGCTCCTGAGAAACTAAGTCTGGAGAAAGTTTGGCTTTTTCATTTAGTTTGATGCTTTTGAGACAGCATTATTCACCAGAGATGCGTCTGCACGTAATAGCTTGCGCCTTTTGGGGTAAAAGTGAGAAGAGTCTCGTGGGATAGGAATAGGGATGATGGTGTTTTTCTTCACAGAGAAACAACAAGCAGAAGGAATCAACAGGGTAATAATTGAGCTTCTTGGCAGTTTCCTACAAGAGCCACATATTCCACATTTAAAAGCCCTGGGAGGCCTTTCTTCTCTTTTCTTGGAATGTGAAATATGGCTGTAATGAACACTGGGTCTTCCACAGAAGACAGCTGGACAACAGCAGCTCATTTTGGAAAGCACATCCTTTGCTTTTTCCTTGCTCAGCTGGCCTCAGGGTCTGCTCTGCAGCCCAGACCGAGCATCCCCCTGCCCAGAGGCACCCCTGCTCCTCACTTATCCTGCAGCCCCCTCTCCACTTGCACAGCAGTTGGGGCAGGGCTGATCCATGGCCTTGCCATAATGGGGTTAACCTTAAACTGGTTTGCTCAAGAGCAAGCAGCTAGAGAGCAGCAGCTCCCAGAGGAAGCTGGCTGTGCGCCTGCCACTCACTCACAGGATGCCAGGCTGCAGGATCTGAGTGTCCCAGGAGAGGCTGTGACAAAAGGCAGACCATTGTGCCCAGCTTTCCTCCATGACTTCAGGGGAGCAACTTGCTTTTATTAGGAAATGGAAACTGAGCACCTTATCTAATCCCAGGGACAGGCAGCTGGGGCTCGAGGAAAGGCAGCTGCTTTGTGGAGTGTCTGCCAGACCCTCCAATCTCAAATAATGATATTGAAAAAAACCCCAGTATACATTTAAATAATGCACTTGGGAAAATGCTCACGCTGCCTTGTGTGAGGTGCTTGGATGAGACATGCATGTGCGGTAGAGGGAAATTTCTGATGCACAAAATCTCTCACTGAGACTTTAGTGCCTCAAATCCAGCACTCCAGGAGTGCAGTTTTAGAAGTCTCAGGCCTAGCTTGCAAAAGTCAAAATCCTCTTTGTATCTCTCCCACTCAGTCAACCCTTCTAACAATAAATGTAAGTCTCTCAGCACTGATGCTGGGAGGGGGAATGTAGCTCCCAGACCCAAGGGGAGGGGGTATAATCACACAGCTCCCTGCTTGCACCATGTCCCCAGGGGAAGGGAGCTCCGAAGTGTTCATGTGTTCTGCACACCTAATGGGAGACTCAGATGACATTTTATTTCTCCTTCTCCACAGCAAATACAGGGAGTCACCAAGCTGAGGGTTTGTGGGAATTGTCATGAGATGTATTAAAGAGTGATGCAGGGTAGAAATTCCGCCCAGGATTTCCTGCTTCAGGCTCTCAATTTATAACTGATATTTCAAAGCCAACTTTAGAAAAACACCTTATCTTGACTGTGGAGGTAACAAGTCTACCTCAGAAAAATTTTCATATGATTATAAATTAAAGGTGCACTCTGTGCTTCTTTATCCATCAGAGCTTTTCCCTTGGCCTGTCACCAGCACCTGCTGCTCACCCAGGCTGAAATTTATGCTGGTGCAACCCAAAGCAAAGGAAACAAAAGAGATTCACTTCTGATGCAGTAAGCTCTGCTGCCAGAAAAAATAGTGTTCAAGGCTATGCCATGTCCACATTTATCATTTTAGTAGGTCATGAACACATCTCTGTAAAGTCTTAGATTAAATCCTGTGGAGGGCAACCTAAAGGATAAATTGAATTAAATAAAATCAGATTTCTCCAGCTTTAGGCTGCTGAATGCTTCTTTCAGTCTCCCCTGCAGATGCTGGATGTAATGCTTTGGATCCTTCGTGGAGTTAACCCTGTGATTATCCATGCCCATCAATGAGATGATGCTGGTTTACACCAGAGGAGGATCTCATCTATAGCACTGTCTGTCCACCTCACATTTGGTTTCGTACTGCAGTCAGACTGTAACAGATTTCTTAAAATGCATTTAAACACACAAGCAAATGGACTGGAGGCATGGTGACAGCTTGGAGCCTCCCTCCACATGGCATATCCGATCCAGACGTGTCTGTACACGTGGAGATGTGATGGCATGAACAGATCTTCAGTCCAACAGGAGTTTTGCAAGGCAGCACTTGACTGAGGAACATCTGCTGAAAGGCCAGAGGGGCCATGGGGGCCACCCTGGAGGGGAGAGCGTTCCATGTGCTCCGTGTCCTGGCATTGGGGTTTGGTTACCCAGTGTTTTCCTCCCCAAGCAGGTCGTGGTTTCTGGACTCAGGTCACAGCGTCATGACCTTGTGTCATACCAGCTCAGCCAGTTGGTTTGTGGGGGAGGAAATAAAACTTGGGTGCTACCACATCCCTGCCCAAGTTCTGCCCCTTGGTTGCTCATGGGCACTAATTATGAGGGAGGCTCTTGCTCTGCTGCTGTATAATTATGCAGAGCACAGTCCAAGCCTTAATATAGGGCTGAGGCCTTAATTTAGCTCTGAGTGACTTGCTTTTGGTTTTCTCCTGTTCTTTGAAAATATATTTAATCTTGTTTCACACAGTGGAGCAGCTTCCTAGCAATAGAATCCATATGGAACATGAGGTGGACACTGTGCCTGGGCTGGAGCTGCTGCCCAGGAGCTCTCACAGGAGGTTGGTGTCTTGGTGCATTTGTTGTCTTTGGGTTCTGAACTCTGGGTAGCAAGTTCAGGGAACTACTCCTTTCTCCACAGCAGTCAAAAGTTTGGGTTTGCAGGGGAGCAAGATGGATTAGCAGATTTTGGATCATGTGTAAAGGCAGTGTAGGAGGAGGCAGGATGCTGACTTTGGTCCTGTGTTAGAAGCAGCTGCAGATTACTGGAACATCAATTTCAGTGAAGAGTGTACTGTCCTTCCCTCCATTGGAGCTCTCCTGTGTGTGGCACACTTGCCGAAAAATCGCCGCTCTCCTGGCGCGCCCCAGCCCCCGGAGCGCCAGGATGGCCAGGATGTGCTCCTTCCTGCAGAAATCAAACAAGACCTGGCTCAGATCTAGCCAGCAAAACCATCCCAGAGCAAGATGGTTGTTGTTAGCAACCAACAGCTATGCTGGAGACAGAGCAAGGCTATAGCAAAGTGCCAGGGACTGACTCCTTGCCACACCGGAGGAGCCACCAGCATGGGAGTCTGCAGCCTCTGGAGGTATCAAACCAGCGAGCAGCAGCTCCTGCCACACCACACTGGTGGGACAGCCTCCTGCTGCTGGTGCTGCAGGGAATTTCCTCCTCTCTCTCCACACCCGTGATGCCCTTTGCATGTTTTCCAGAGTAGCTGTGGACCTTTTGTGTGATGATTATTTTGAGATGAGTAATGGAAGTGCTAATATTTAGGAAGCTGATAGACACTAATTAGATTAGAGCTGGAAAGCCAACTTGGAAACATACTCTGTTCCAGTAATCTCAGTGTATACAAATTCAGCAATGTCTCGGAGAGCTCAGGGGAAAAATTAACAGGGACCTGAACAGGAAGCAATGCAGGTCCAGCAGGTTCCGCCTCGTTTTCCAAACTTCATTGTTAAAATAATGTTACTCAATAATGGAAAAACAGAAATTAAATAAACCAAGAGGACAAGCCTTAAAACCTGGCTTGGGACTGAGGCTAATGATGAAAAACTAGCACAAATAATGGCCTTGTAAATGGCTTTTCTGACTGGAAAATGGTTTTCAAATATCATTGATGATTAGCCGTCATTTACCTCCCCCTTCCTTCCCAGACCAGGAACTGCCTCTTTTTCAGCTTAGTCTGGCCACTGGGATTAAACCCTTATTGGGGTTTATTTATTTGTTTGGTTTTTTGTTTGTAGGGATTTTTTTTTTTGTAAGATAGGTATGTTCACCTAGGAAATTACTCAGGAACAATTGTTCCTTTACATATCCATGTCTTGAATTCCCCCACACAGATAAGCCTGAGGAATATCTGAACCACGCAAGTTAAATCTAGTTATGAAAAATGTTGAGCCTCAGTTTTGGGGAGAAGTGAATATATTTAATGTGATCTTTTTTTTTTTTTTTCAATATTTGAGGGTCCACTACAGTATTCTAGCAATTAGTTAAATCTAATGGATTATTTTGATTGTATAAATGTCATCCAGTGATTAAACTTTTGGTGGGGTTTTTTTGGTTTTTTCTGAAATTACTCTGATGAAATGGAATTTATTGCAATCTGTACTACTGATATTCATTCTCAGTAGTTGAAAGAAGAGCTGTAGAAGAGAAGGTAACTTCTTATTTGCAGCTGCTTAGCAATGCACAGAGCTAGTCACTTTCTTTACTTTTCCAGGAGTTTTAAATTTTCCAGATGCAGCCTTGGAACAGAAAATGGAAAGTACAAAAGAAAGAATTTGTAATTTTTTCCAAAATTTAATGGCTGTGTTGAGGCCAATTCAGAAATTGCAGCTGATCTGTGTCAATGGCTGCCACACTTTGAGGTCTGGGTCTGGGAACAGGAGACAAACTATTTGCTCCAAATCTGGAGCCTGCAAATTGGCAAACAGGGCTGATACTGGTGATGCAGTGGAAAACAAACTGGAGCTTCACTGTGAAATAAAGTTCATTTAGAGCAATAAAATGGAATTCAATGATAGAATGCATGGGGATGGTTCAAAACTGTGTCAGGGGAGCTCTAGACTTGACATTATGAAGCATTTTTTAAATGAGGTGCTAGAGCAGGTTTCCTAGAGAGGTAGGTGATGTCCCAAGCCTGTCAGTGCTCAAGAGGCATTTGGGCAATGCCTTTAATAATTTACATTAACTTTTGGTCAGGCCTGAAGTGATCAGGAAGTTGGACTGGATTATCACTGCAAGTCCCTTCCTAATAGACTGAAATAGTTCAGTTCTGTTCTATTCTATTCAATCACATTCCATTCCGTTCTATTCTAAAATGAAAGGGCTTTGAAGGTAATTTATGTACATAATATGATACAGCACACAGGGGAAAAATAGAAAAAGTGTGCAGCCATAAAGAGAGAAAAATAAATTGAGGCTCCCACTGTTGCTGGCATCCTGATCTCTAATGTGTGGCCACCCACAAAAAGAAGCTGAAGAGTTCAGCCCAGGCACAGGAAAAGCTGGTGCTGTTTGGGATGGAGCCCAACAGTTCTGGCATCTGCCACTTCACGTACCTGATGTCTGGATAGTCCTGGCACAGCTCCTTGACATATGCCTTGATCTTGTCTTTTTTATTCTCCCCAGTGATACTGGCAATGTGATATATGACGGGGAGGAGCCAGTCAGCTTTGGAGCCCTGTGGACAAAGAATCACATGGGGACATCAGGGACAGCAGCACCCGCTAAATGCTAAATGCCTTTTTCCCTGCAGGGAGAGCACGGCAGTGGGATGTACTGGAGTGAGCCAGGACTGGTGCAGGCAGGACAGGCTGCCTCAGGCAGCAGCAGGGTGCTGGGTGGCAATGGCAAGGCACCCCTGGGGGCTCTCCCAGGCCTGACTCTGAACTTCCCCATCCTCACAAGCACCCAAGCAAGCCAGACCCTGAGCAGGGCATTGTGGCTGTGTATAGTAGCATAGTAGCAGATGCCAGAGACTTCACCTCCTGCTGCTTGATAGTTTCATGTGCCTCATCTCTGAGATGGGATTTAGTGCCCTGGATGCCTGACTTTCCACAAAATCCAATTAATTCAACTCTGACTTCCCTGAAAATCCCAGACTGTTGCTGTGAGAGACAGGAATGTTAAAGGTTAACAACTCAACCAACTGCTGTCATTGTTTTTACCAGCAGACCCCTAACCTGCAACAATCAAGTCTTGTTGGATCTACAGGTGGTGATACCTTCCTCTCTGCTATCTGCTTTTATACTTTCTTACTTTTCCTTATATATTTTCTTAAGTGATATTTTTATACTTTTATAATGTTATATTACTATAGGTAATAACCAAAATGGCTACATATCTCCTTTCCATTGTAATCAAATTGTTTTAAAATAAACCAGCCATATAAACACACACACATACAGAGATACACACATCCATCCATCCATCTGTCTATCTATCTATCTATCTACCTATCTAATCTATATATCTCACACCAGTCATTCAGTGTTGTGCTGCTCTAATCTTGCCCAAGGGATTTATTAACAGGAACCTCAGTTACCCCACCTTTAGGGTCAGGTTGTAACAGTTGTCCATCACAAAACACTCAGACTCCCATCGCTTTCTCCCCACACCCTGCTGTACACAGACTTGTGTACCCAGATGGAAATCCTTATGGGACTCAACTCCATGAGCTGTATCCAGGGCAGGGATCCTTTGGTGACAAAGTGCATCCCATGGCCTGAGGGAACAGGCCCAGGAAGAAGCTGCCACAGGATGAGTGTGATCCTACAGCACATGAACCATCCCATACAAAGCTCCCTGGGAACACATTAAAACACCAAGTGCTGCCGTCAGAGAGCTGCTGGCTGAACATGCTCAAGCTGCCAATGCAGAGAGGCTGCCAGGCTGGAAACCCACACCATGAACCTGCAGTAAGCACCCTGCTCACTCTTTTCAGCACTTCTATATTTCTTGAGGCTTGTCCTCCTCAAGAGCCTGCTGCCTGGTCCCTGTGAAGCCAAGTGGGAAAATTGCACCTCTGGGAGTGGGACAGCCAGGGGATGCCAAGAAACAACTCCCATACCTGATCAATGAGTGTATTGTGAATGATTGCAGCTTCCTGGCTCATCTTTCTGCTGACTTGCTGACGTGTCTCCCTGTTCATTTTCCATCTGGGTTTGATGATCTGTGTGACATATTCCTTCACCACGTATTTATGAACTTCATGTAGAAGCTCCTGGTTAAAAAGAAGCAAACCTCATGGTGTTTTTTGTCCATTCAAGGCCAAGGCAGTGAGAGAGGGCAGGGAAAGCCCTCAGGTCTTTGGCAGCACCTGAGGGCATAGGGGAGGTACAGGAAGGCAGCACACCATCAGCACACACTCATGTCTGCAGCCCTCAGAGTTACAAAAAGCAACCACTGTTACAGAGGAGTCTGCAGGTCTTACCACAGCCTGAAAATGATGGTGTGGCCCCTCAGCATTCCTATGCCCAGGTGTGGGACTGGCTGCCTACCTGCCCCAGGGGCTTCTTCATGTGCTGCAGGTGCTCAGAGAACTGCGAGATTGCCGACACCAGAGAGTCCGGCCTTTCCGTCGCCAAAATCCAGGTCTTGGTCAGGATTTTCTTAAGGAGTGGCTGAAAAAAGACCAACTCACTGATGGCATGGGTATGTTCAGAGTAGCTGATGATGCCCTAGCTGAAGGCACCCAGCTATACACCTGATCTCAGGCTTGAACGGAAAGCACAGAGCACCCCCTCTGCATGAAGACACATGAGGAGCAGGCTGGGTTTCTCTCTCTACCCCAGGGAACTGACACCCATGTATCCCCTTCCTGGGTAGGCAACCCACTGCAGAGGGGAGAAGCATCATGCCCTGAGCAGGAGATGTTTTGGCATTAAAGACTTATTTAGGATACCTCATTTCCTTGCTCTGTGCCACCTTCTGGTCCATCAACTCTATTTCTTTAGGTAAATAAATTTGTTTCTTTAATGTATTGGGGAAGAAAGAGATGAGAATGTTAATCACAAGCAACTCAGGCATGACTAGAACAGGCTGTGGTGGGTAACCATATATGCCAGTGTTACATGGAAACGAAAATTCACTTGGTAGTGAATCTCTTGGAAATTAACCCAGTAATCCATAACCTCCACAGCCTTCTCCATAAGGAAATCAAGCTCTTCGTGTTTACAGCCATTCCAGGAGGCTCTCTGTACTCCTGCAGACCTGCATGAAGTCTTGCTGGAATTTTCCTTGTGCTCCTTGCTCTGATGTGGTGGTGGGGAGAATGGCAGCTGGGAGCATCTCCAGATTTATGCCTCATGGTTAGGGATGACATGGGAGTGATGGCACTGTTTCCCACCTGTCCTGGGTACAAGGTACTCTGACCAAGTGTCCTTAACAGGTTATTTTCCTTTGTTGGGTCCATAGAGCTAATGTACCTTCATATAGAAACAGCAATATCTGCTAAAAACTTGTGGGACCTGGAAGACCCTTCCCTAAAGGTCAAATGCAAAATATCCTTCTTCTGGCATGTCCCCTTTTCTCTTCCTAGCTCTCATACTCTCTGTCTTTAGACTCCTGGCAATCTCCTTCCCAGTTATCTCCCCCCTTGCTGTGCTCCCAGCCTGCCTGAGAGTTGTTTAGAAATGCTTTGACTCGGCTTCTCTCAGTTCTCACGACATTTCAGCTCTCTTGCTCAATACCTTGGCTCAGGGCCTTTCCTCATCTGCTGCTTAGACTCCAAGGCAAGATCTGCAGTCACTGGAAAGTCCCCTTGGCTAGGAGGGCTTGGCTTAGGCTGGAGAAATTCCATGACTGTCCTGGTTTCTGGAAGTTATGTTTGGGGATTTAGAAAGTGAATTAGGGTAAGTGAAAAGGGGTGGGACCAAAGGCTTGATTTCCCCCATGTCTTCTATAATGCCAGCTGGAGCTAGCAGATCCCAACTGGCTGAGAGCAGAAAGGTTCATCTACATCACCTGAGAAGCACAAACCTCATTGCAGCACATTGCCTTTTAGACCTCTTAACAGAAGTCAAATTTTATCAGAGTTTTATCAGTTGATACAAGACCTTTAGCATTCTCATTCTGGAATAATCAGTCTTTTGTCACCATGGGAACAGCCTGGAAAAATCACCCCTACCAGAATGAATTCTGTCCTATCTGAAGAGGTTTCTGACAGACTGTGATGGTAGATCTATGAATCAATAAGTCAAAGTCCTGAAAAATCCAAATGACTTGATAGAAGGAAAAGCACCCCATTGGTGGTGTTCAGCTGGCCTCTCCAGTGCTTCACTTCAGATAAAATTTTCCCCACTGCTTTGCCTGAGAGACTGGAAGCTGCTAAATATCCTTTTCTTTTGATTGCTATTAACAGCTTGAAAAATGTACCATTGCTCATAGCAAAAAATTCCCAGGATGCTGGAAGTGTTGCTTTTTAAGGGGGATTTCCACAGGTGATAAATACATTTTGGAGGGACCATAATGTCATGTGCTCAAAATGAGGCTTAGTTGGTGAGACAAGGGAAGGGCAATGACCCTCAGCTGCTGCACATAACCCTTATAATGAGGAAATAATGTGGCCAAGATCCTCTTACCTGTGTTTTTGTTCTTAATTTTGTTAAAAAAATATTTGTGAAGTTCCTTGTCAGAGCTGCCAAAATCTTCTGCAGTTCCTCAGTATTGACTTCAAACGTTGTTTCTAACCCTGACCTACAGAGAGACAGAGATCACCAATGAGTTAATGTTAAAATGTAAACTATTACACGGCCCTAAGCATGTTATCTGGATTGGCATGTTGGATATTATTTTTAAATAAACTTGTGTTTCTACTACTTCCTCTTGGAAACACTTAATGAGTCAAAGTAATGGTTCTTTTTGCACAATCCTGTACACTGAAAATTAACCATAGATGAGTAACTGTGGTTAAAAACCCCCTCAGACTTCCTCATCAGGTGGGACAGTGCAGCCATGCAGAGCAGGTGCGTAGGCCAGTTGCAAAATTATTTCCAGGTACGTGGGAGAGAACAGAAGGCTATGGGGGAAAAGTAAATAATAAAGCCAGAGAAGGGAAAGCTGCTGACCCTGTGTCCCCCAGAGCCTGTCTGATTCACTCCACACAATGTCTATCAGCAGCAGCTGGGATGGTAACTGCAGGGATGGAAACCTGTGGAATTTCCTAAGGACAGTGACATACTTCTGTGATGTTTCACCTTGCGAGAAAGTAAACTTCTGGGAGGTTAATGAAATTCCCAGTGTGTGTGAGTGCTTTAGGGGCGTTGTGACCTCCTGGATTTCTTCTCACTTTCCATCCCCGTCCCACTGTAACATGCTCAGTGTTTGTGAGGTGGGGAACTGAGGCAGCACCATCACAAAAAGAAGCATCACCAGTGATGCCTGAGCATCCCTGGATGTGCCCCATCCACTGCTGTAACCACAGAGAACAGCAGGTTCCTGTCACTGCCCAGATTTGTATGTCTGGAGCTGCCCTGGCAGGACTACAAGGCACCCAACACCATCCCTGTCATCCCAGGCTGGAGCTCAGGACTGTAACTCCAGATGAACACCTGAAGTCTGGGTCCAGCACCCAAAAAAATCGTGCTGTTAGGACACCTACCTCTGCCCCACAAGTCATCATCCCAGGCTGATGAAGGTTTAACTTGACTCAGGAATAAACCCATCACCCAAACACTGCCAGCTCCCTGCCTGGGGCTGGCGTCTCCCTTCAGCCCCTCTCCACTGCCCAGCAGGGAAGAGGCAGCAATGTCCCGCGGGAGCAGCAACAGGCAGGGAAAGCCATTTCGTCGGCGAGGTGAGCATTGCTGGAGAGACCGTGCCATCTAGAGACTTGCTGGCGGTAGTGCTCGCTGCGGCTGGAGCCGTCGGCTCCTGCGAGACACAGCACGAAATCCCCTCCATCCCCTGAATAATACTTGACATATGCATCCCTGCCGGAGCGGTGCAGCAGCAGGGGCTGGAAATCACACCCCAGTCTTTCGGGTGGCCAGAGCCCACACGCTAATCCTTGTGGCGTTTTCCCGGGTTGACAAAAAAAAAAAAAAAAAAAAAAAGGCACCACATCTGTGTGGCAAAGATGTCCCCAGATGCTGATGAGCCCCTGGACCTCAGCATGGGGCTGATGGAGCAGACCCTGGTACATGCACTCACTGGCACCGTCCTACTTATGGGGTGTGTGGTAGATCCTTGACACTCAGCCTGAGGATACCTGTTCATCAGAGGCACTTTCCAACATGTGGCCTGAAGTAACTAATTCAAGCAAAGCCCTGGAAGTTCCAGATGCCAGCAGCAATGGCAGGCATTTATTTTTGGGTTGAGTGCTTTCATGGAGTTTCCTCCAGCCCAGTGCCAAAGGCAGCCTTGAGGCCATGTTTCTGAGTTTATTCTGCTAACCTCAAGAAAGAAAAAAAAAAAAAAAAAAAAAAAAAAAAAGGAAAAAAAAACCTCCCCTGAGGATGAAAAAGATGCTCTGAAAATGAGTTCAAAATTCATGCAAGCACTGCACCCATCCATATTTCTGTATCTTCACCCTTGTGGCTTTTATTTGCTTCCCTTGGGGGAAATCTGTGAGATCAGAAGGGCTGGAGGCTGAGCACTCACCAGGGCACCTCAAGGACAGCTTGGTCTTTCCTTTCCAGATCCTGCCAACCCCCCAGACCCCAGAAAAGTGGTTCAGGGGGAGCAGACTTACACCAGGTCATGGAAGCTGTTGATGTAGGCAACAAGGTAGGGCACAAAGATGGGGCTGTCCTGGGCAGTGCTCCACGCCATGAACTCCTGCTCAAACCTGTAGGAAAATACAGCCAGGTATCACTAACAGTGGGGCACTGAGGGTGCCTCATCTTCTGTGAACGTGGTGGTGTCAGGAGACACCCGTGGCTGGCCCAACCTGTCCCCTCTGTATGCAGGCAAGTTTTTTCCAGCTGTCATAACAAGAGTGTGCAGTGGAGGGAATAGATGGCAGATAATTGTGGGTTTAGGATGTGCTCGCTTGAACAGGTACGCAGTGCTTTTGGAGAGATGCCAGGGATGTTGGGAGGCCAAATCTCTGACTTTTCCTCATGCTGAGGGTTTAATTGCAGGTGTGGTACACAGGCTTATAAGTCTGAGCCTTCATTTCGCTGGCTTTTGGGGCAATATATTATGTGCCTTTTGAGAACACAGGGCTGATTATATAACAGAAGATGTATAGGAATAGGGCAGCACGCCTACCTCCCCTCCCCCCAAAACCTCAGTGTGGCTGTTAGGTAGTTGGTTTTTTTTTGTAGCACCAATTTCATGGGGTTGACAGCTGTTTCACAGCCAGATCCACACTGAAGGCAGGAGGCTGTGTGCTCAGGCAGCCTTTGCCTGGTGGTCCCATTCTTTGTCAGGGTAAAGGAACCTGCTTGAGCTGGCCCCAGCCACTTGCATCTCAGGTTTGTTTAAGTAAAAGCTTAAGCCCTGGCAGCTCCAGCTTGCATTTTAGACAGGTTTTGGTTGTTTGTTTTTGGTTTGTTTTTTTTTTTTAATTAAAAACTAAAGAAAAGGAAAAAAATTAAGAAAAAAAAAAAGAGAGAACAAAGAAAAGGAAAAAATAAGAACAAAAAAAAAAGAAAAAAACATTAATTCAGCAGTTTCCTTTGGACACTGGCTAAATTTTAAGGGACTCAGGAGGCAGTCCATCTGTGTGTTTTGCCAGGGTATAGCAGAGAGGGTCTCATCAGCCATTTTTTATGCCCATAGCCAGAGAAAAACACTCAGCAGAACTCATCCCAGGATACCTAAATGATGTTTTGGGCAAACCGGCTTTTGGTCTGAGGGGTCCATAAACACTGCTTGCTCATGACTGAAGCTGCAAGTGATCAGTGTCCCATGTCACAAAAGTCCTGGGTGGATGGGACTGCAGTGATCCCATCCCTTTCCAGGTAGCAGCTACTTTCCAGACCTCTGACATTAGATTTTTGTACTCACAAGAGTCCCATCTGGGTCTGTTTACGACTCCCTCCAAGCTGTTTTGCAGCTTGCTATTTACTGGGCTCATCGTGATCTCTAATTCTCTCAGGAGCAGCGTTGTGCCTGCTCAGTGCCAGTGTCTGGTCCAGTACCTGGACCTTTTTCCTGTTTTTTTTTACCAGTATGGGACTCATTTAGAAAGAAAGTACTGCCCAGAGCAGTGATGACCTTGGTATGAATTCAAGCAGCTCTGCCATGCACAACTCAAGCATTTTTGTTTCCAGGCTTCTGCTGATAGCTCCAGATAACTTCACGTGCTGTCCAATGATCTAGAAAAGGGAACGAAGACACTCCAGTGAGTGGGACAAGCCCTGGTGAAACATCCTGCTCAAGGATCTCATGCAGCTTTGGCTGGTAAGAATGGCTCACCTAGCAAAGGGGCAACTGTTGCCAGGAGGTTTTCATTAATCTCTGGCAGTTTTAAAAATTATATTGCAGAATGGGTCAAGAAGCACCAAATTATTTGTGATGTCATCATTCACCCTAATAGCCTCATGCCCTTCTGCTGTCTGAGTGTGAGTTAGAGGCGGTGTTGGCTGGAGCTCTGGGGTGTCCTGGTATCATTCTCCTCTTTTGGGGGAATTGCTGGAATTCCCCCAACCCAAAGCCCAAGGGGAGTTGAGCTGTCCCCGTGTATGACCCCATGATAAGGGTGACTATAAGTCCCATCCCTGAGGCTCCACACAAGCCCCCTTCTCAGGAGTGATACCAGGGCAGCACAGAGGGTCAGCATCACCCTGAACTCTCATTTGCACTGGAATTCCTCCCAGATTCCCATTCCCACAACCCCAGCTGCACTTCTGGACTGAGGTGTGTTGCAGTCCTACTCTAGTACTTCCCTTGGCTTCCTATCCATCTGCTAAATCATTTCAGACCTGCCCTCCCTGCGATCACATAATGTGTCATATTCCTCTATGGAAAAAGAGTCACATCAATGGGCAAAACTCTTTGATTTTCTTTCTTTCTCTCTCCCTCTCTTTTTCTGCTAGTATTATTTAATTGAAGTGACTCAACCAATTGAGTGATGAGAATTAATCCAAACCCCTCCTGCCTTTATTACACTGTAGTCCCTAAACTAGTAGGGGCTTTTGTTTTTTGTACTGTTTAAATTGGAGTGGCTGTCACTGCCTACAGCCTTTCCCCAGCTTCCACAGCCCTGGGACAAAGTTGTTCTTTAAGCCAAAGGTTTTTTCAAAGAAACCTTTTCTTTCCACCTTTTTTCCAATTCTCTTTCTTCTTCCTAATCAAAGAGGTTTAGGGACTTTAAAATCAGTTGCCTATTATGTTGCTGACACAATTGACAGCAGGTTTAATTTGCAGCTAGAAGGCAAGCGGGAGAGCTAAAAGTTGTAATAAATGGCATTTTCTGCTCTAATGTATTCTGCCAGTGTGTGGCTTACATAAATTATCGCAGGAGGCGGTACTTCCACCCCAGAAGGAAAGGATCCAGTTTCCCTGGAGCCACAGACACCCCCTCCCCTCCCCCCCACTTTCCCCCAGCTAATTAAATACCGTTTGAATATCAAAAGAGAGTGAGGCGTGGTAGAGGTTTTCCTTCTCTTCTAAATGAACTTCCTTCTCCCACTTCTCTGTGACCTCTAGTCTCAGGATGTTTCCAAAATAACTTTTGATTTTCCCCTAAATGTTAAACACAGGAAGGAAACATGCAGCTCAGGATAATGAAGCAAACACAAGTGCAGCACCTCTCTGCATTTTGCTCCATCAGCACATGGGTGCGCCATCACGCACGGCATGGCAAGGTGGAAAGGTGAGCACAGTCACAGGCCTTGCTCCAGACCTCAGGAGAAATCAGGAGCTGTGCTCTGTGTGTGCAAGGTACTCCCAAATCAAAGGAGAGTCGTTCTCCTGGCAGGGAAACAGTGGGTCAGCTGTTTGTTTGATTGCAAAGTCCTCCAGCACATGGAATGCACCAGGTCAGGATTAAAGATCAAACCAGTCCTTTCCAGGGTACAGCCAGTCAGGTAAGCAGCAGCACCATTCAGTCCTGGCTGATAAATCAATCTTGTTGCTGGTGAAACAAAGTGATCTTTCACCAGCACGGTGAAGCAAAACTGATTTCATTCAGCTGGGTACCTTGAGCTCACCTTGAGCTGTGCCCTGATTCAGAAATTATTTGCAAGAAGATGTCTGAGCCCAGCAAAGAGCCAGGAAAGTCTTACACAGGGTGCCAGACAAGGACTGCAGAAAGACAACAGGGAAGTGCCTTCATCAGAGGACACAAACCATGAGTGTGTGCTCTGGTGGGGGATGCCCAAAGTCTGTCAATAGCACACCTCCGATGGGCTGGAGGAGATCCCACACAGGGACAGTAGCTGCTAGAATGCCTTTGTCCCTGACTTTGCAATGCAAAGTACAATCTACTGAAACCCAGCAACGACCTTTCAGTAAGTGTCTGCCATACTGAGTGGGTCTGGTACAGTCCTGTTCGCTCTGCTTGGTATTCAGGAATTTTTTGCTTTAGAGGACAGGCCACTTTGTGTGGGGCCAATAGGACTCAGCACCTGGTGGGGCTGGAAACCACAATGTAGTCATCCAAGACCTCTGTCTGGGAGGCTGGGGCTCCTGTACCTTCCCTGGGAGGCACATGGGGACTAGGTCAAAACTCTCACCTTTGCCGAAGCAATGTAGTCGTTTTTCAGTTTATCCCAATCAGCTGGTGTTAACAGCAAGGACAGATTTTCTGTCTTAACCTCTGGTTTGAGCTCAGGATGACCCAGAAAGAGTTCACTGGAAAGAATAAAATGAAAAAATTATAATGCCTCAGAGTGTGAATAAACTGATAGAATATTCATGCAGCATGAGCTACATAATTACTAAGCCATGAGAAATATACTTAAAGCTTAAATTGTGCTGCTTGTTTTCAAGGTTTAACAAGAAAATCTTTCCTTTCTATTCAAAATCCTAATTATTCAAACCCAAAATGATCTAAGGTTCCAGCCCACCTCAGAAATCATGAGACTCCTGAGTTGTTTGGACATGAAAAGTGCTATGAGATTTTACTCTTTAAAATAAACAACGTGAAGCTGATTCATTTGACTAGAAGCCTGCAAAATGCCTTTCAGGGTAATTCCTGTAGTAGCACGTTGCTTTGGAGTTAGCCCATCTCCCTGCCTCCCCTGCAGTGTCATATCACAGCTCATGTCAGCCTGTGATTTGTCTCTGTGCGTTATCCTGATCCAGAGGAGGTGGCAGAGCAGGACCTGGAAGGCACTCCCATGCCTGGGACACCAGCCATGTTCCCCTGCAGATGGAAGTGGTGGGTAGACGTGCAGCTACAGAGTCTGACTCCAAAGAGGGCTCAGCTGACACGAGATTTTGCTGCTCACTTTCCTCTGGACTGACATGTAATCAGGACAGCTGATTAGCTCAGAAGCAGGGGAAGGGAGGGAGTGCCTGCATTCCTCTCTCTGGGGCAGGAAAAATGTTATTAGCCTGTACAATTGAATGTGCTACTCCTGCAACCTGCCACAGACTGTGGAGGCACTGCATCTTGCAGGGCAGTGAAGGTGGAAAAGAGAAAGAAGAAAATATTCATGCCCTTCATGAAGGTGGGGTCTAGGTTTTGAGCTGTCATATTGTTAATTGAGGAACATGGCTGCAATGTCCTACATACAGCCTGCACATTTCCTCAGCCACCAAAAAGGGTTCCCATTGCCACACCAACACTGTGCCCACAGTTGGGTTCAGATACAAGGAAGAACTGTAATGTACAAGGTCAGGCTGCTGCCGAGTGACTGCTCAGCATAAAATAAGTCCAGCCTGCTGGTAGTGTCCTGGAGTCAATGCTTCCGTGGTCATGGTTCAGATTTCCCAGAGAGGAGCATCTCCACACGTGGAGCATTGCACAACCCAGCTGCTGCCAGAGCCTACTGCTCCTTTTAAAGGAGAACATAGATTTAAATACTCACTCTCCACCACAACTGAAAGGAAAAATGTGTATCCAAGGGGATTATTCCCACCTCTTTAATTTTCTTTTTCTCATTTGTTTGAATTGTAACATCAATAATGAGTTTGAGTCAGTCAATCTCCTCCTTTTTTATTATTTATTCCAAGAGACAATGAGGTTTTTTTGAATGGGAAAATCAAATGGAAACAGCCCAGAACAGCCAGGTAATTGCAAGCAGTGCCCAAAACAACTGAATCTCAATAAACCCTTTCACAGCAATTTAGAGAAATATGGCGGGGGCATTTTTCTTTGGTGCAGAATCTGGCTGCTGAAGCTCATTTCTTTCCTTGCTCTCCTGCAATGGCAGGTGGGGCCATGCAGGAATTTCGCTTCAGATGAGATCTTGCAGGATTTGTGATACTGGGGGGGTTACATACATTATTATGCTCACCACACTCTAGGTGGGGTTTTAAGAGCGACTGGGTAAGTTCACAGAAGAAACCTCTTGAGGGCTGTTCAAAACAAAGACCACTGCAATGGAAATGTTTCTTACCCAAAAGCTACCCCAGGCTAGGGATGTTCCGGACAACAGTGTGCTGCTGCTTGCCCTGCTCTGTCACTGCCTCCTTTCTGACCATTTTGACCCACTGGCTGGCTCAGTGCTGAAAGTCCTGCCTTCACTCCTTCCTTGTTTTATTTGAGGACTCCAGTGGGTTTGTGTTTCTCCCTTCCTTGAACATCTGGTTCAGACCATACCTGGAGGCCAGCTACCAGGACAGACACAATTTTGCTTTGACAGAACTCTTTTACATGCTTATTTTCCAGACCCCTGAACTGCAAGGAGCTATGTCTTAAACCCCTCCCATTCAACCAACAGACACATCTGAGACAGAACCTTTGTTTTCATGTGTCTAATTACCCTCCATGATGTCTTGACTCCTGTTTTAGAGGACTCTGACCCCATGCATGGGGGTTAACGTGGGCCGTTTCCAAATGTATCACAATTTTAATTAAACAGGAAGAAGACATCCCCCACAGGCCCCTGCCTGTGCCTGGAAAAGTTACTGAACAGCTGTTGGATCTTGCAATATATGCAGAAAGGAGCAAGTTTATCAGAGCAGGTTTATCAAATGCAGGGAGGAGCTTCCTGGCACATGGGAACAGCAAGTGGGAGAGGGAGGGGGAAATGGGGTGATGTAGATCTGTAAAAAGCAGCAAGTGCTTTATCCACAGACCTTTGTCCCCACCTATTAACAGATTTGCTACCTGGCTCCACTGTAGTCACTGCATCTCGCTTGCTTGCTTGCATGGAAAACTGAAAATGGTCTGGTGCTTTTGGAGTACCCCACATCCCCATGGCTCCCTGGAGGAGGCAGAAGCATTGTGGAAAACACAGCAGCTCACCTGTGGTAGGTGTTGGCCACCCAGTCAAGCAAGGTGTAGAGCTCGTGGAAGTCCAGTGGTCCCTGGGAGAGTTCTTGCAAATGTGAGGCAATGGCATTGTGAAAAGCTTCCACATATGTGTCACACACCTGGTACTCCTCTGGATAGCATTTTTTTACTGATGACTTGATTTTCAGTAAATCTTCCCTCAGGTGTTCCTGGAGGAAATGTAAGTGGAGATCAAGCCAAGAAGTTGCCTCTTCCCTTGATGCCATGGGTGCCTTCAGGACTCTTTTTCTTGCGCTCTCCTTGACAGCTTCCCTCCATTGCTCCCTCCACTTTCTGGGCCTGCCCAGTAAATCTGAGCCAGGACGAGCAGCATTGTCTGTGCTGGAATGAGCTGCTTCTTCAAGGGCAATTAAAGTCACCATGGAGGTCAGCATGGTATGCTGTAAAGTGGGATCCTCCAGTGTTTCCTCCACTATGGACTTGATTGCATTTGTGATGGAGTTATAAAGCAAATCCACATCCTTGGATTTCCGTACAAGCTCCTGGGGGTTATCACTGTATTTCTCAGAATCCCGTTCAGAGATAGTCTCATCTTCCATTAGCTTGATACTTGCAAATGCTTCCAAAAGTTGTCTTTTCTGAATAAGTTCATTGATTTCCATTACTGCAGAAACAGGGGGAAGGGGTTGGGACAAAGCAGGCATTAGGTTACTGACAGGTTGGTAACAGGACAAGATGTCTGACAGGGAGACTTGCAGGGGGCTGTTCATAGTCAGGTCCCAGCAGTGCCTCTGAGACTGCCCCTCGGTCTCCCTGATCTCCTCAGCTCCTCTTGGACGCAGGAGAGGAAAACAGTGGGAAAAGCAATCGCTGCAAATTGAGCCACATTCCTAAACAGCTGGTTACAGAGACAGGAAATATAAAAAAACCTGATAGCTCTGCAGGAAGGCCTCAAGCAATGGCTGGTGAGGTTGCACAGAAGGACACTGGAGGCTCAGGCTGCATAAAACTCTGCTCCTCTGGCTCTGTCCCTCTGCTGGCGTGGAGATGAGGTGGAACTGGCAGCAGGAATGGTTCAGAACATACCTTACCAGCAGGATTTCCTTTAGCATAAATGTCCTTGTTTTCCTGCATACCACTGTGCTCAGCACAGCTCTGCTGCTGTGTTGGCCATGGTGGTGTAGCCCAGCTCAGGCACCTCTGGCTGAAAGGGCATTTCAGTGTGCTGCCCAAGAGGGCAGGGAGAGTGCCCAGGGTTCTGGCAGGGGCAGTGGGAGGGAGCACAGCAGGACAGACCCCTTTGGGTGTCCTGAACTCCTGGGTCAGATCTCTTTCTCAATGCTTATGTGTGTCCCAGCCAACCCACAAGCATGTCCTCAGAGATAGCCGGGCCCTGAGAGCCTCCTGTCTGTAAGCCCACAGTCAGGTGCCAAGCACTGCCTCACACCAGCGATGCTTTTTTACCAAGTGCTGAGCACTGCTGTCCCTCAGTGTTTTGGGGAGGTGTGGGCATTGTAGGGGCATCTAAACCTGTGGATTTGTGGTGCTCCTGGTACTCAGATCTCACATGGGTTTCTCCACCTCCTTTGCTTTTGGCACCCACTGCCAGAACAGGCTGGTGTTGGCTGGGGGGAAGTCACCCAATACTGCTCCTCCCAAAGTGGTTGAGGTCTACTGAGTTTCCCATTTGTTTTGCAAAGTCTTGCTCATGCCTATTTGCCAGTAAGATGAGAAGTATTTGCCATGAGTTCAGGAGATCCAAGAGCACTGTTAGCTGTTGAGAGATCCCGAGAAGCTCGCACCCTTTTCCATCTCCCTAACAGAAGCTTTGAACAGGAGATCCCACTCTGACACTGGGCATAAATAAAATACTAAGAGAAGGGAAAGGGTATCCCTTAGGCATGTGTGGCCACTGCTTCTGGGACATACACATACAAAATGATACAGAAAAATTGGAGAGCACTCAAAGAAGGACTGGTTCATAGCACATAATTTCTGCCCTTAGGCTTGTTTGCATACAGGTTTTATGTCATATGTACCAAGTAATTTTTGTAGCATTAGAGTATCTGTATGAAGACAGAAATATGCCAAATAACCAAACTATTGATGCGTCATAGAACACATAGATCGTTGCGTGCCTCTATGGTGCTACAGTTGCTTCTGCACTCAGAAAGGAGAGAAATTCTATCAATTAAGTTGGACTCTTCTAGATAATTTAATATAAAACCTGTGTTTACACAAATGCTTGCAGTGAGAGACTAGAGAAATACATTCTGTTCTGTTTATCAAAGTGAGAAAACACCATTTAATCACCATCTAGGATAATTATTCAGGGAGGTGATGTTGGGTGCTAAATGGATCTTTAATTCAGCAATACAAGATCAGCCAGCTGGTGGTTGAAGGAAGACAATTGAAAGGCAATTAACTATTATGCAGCTTAATGGTGCACGTGGTGGAATCTCCATCACTTGTCATATTATCTCAGGATGGGATGTGTTTCTGACAGAGCTGCTCGAGTCCAGGCCAAACACAAGCTATTGGGCAGAGAATGGGCCTTATTCATGCAATTTTTCAGCTCGTTTATTTCAGAAGATCAGAAAGCTTGTGATAACATTTTCTGCCACTCCTCATCTCTGACCCTTGGAGATCAGACTAGCCAAGTTTATGAGGTGGGCTCAGATCCAGTTTACCAAGCTCACAATGTATCGATGTAAAGCAATAAATCATTTCCCAGCCCAGCAGAGCACATTACAGCAGTGAGGCAGCATTAGCCCATGCATCTGATCCCTGTGGCACCCTGTGCAGTACACCAAGAATTTCTTTCTAGAAATTTAGGCTGAGGAAAGGCCAAGTCATGTTTCACCTCAGTCTATGCAGGTGAATGCATTGTAGCACCTCTGCCCTGAGAAGGTGGAGGACAGCAGTGCTCAAACCATAATCGAAGTCATTGCAGTCTGCTTACACCTGGGGAAAGGTGAGAGCTACACTAAAGGGAATTGTTATAATTCATCTGAGGCCTAGCTATAAAATGCTGACAAAACACATGAGAGTAACCAGCCTGAGGAAGACAAAAATCAAATACTTGCAACACTGCTATTGTGAGGACAGGTGGAAAGTCAATGCAAGAGAGCAAAATATCTGTGGGAGTCTCTTTGCAAGGCAATCTCTAAGATTATGAACCAAAGTGGAGCTTCCAAGCCAAATCATAGCCAAACCATCTTTCTTCCCCTCTAGGCCTTGCAGCACCCTACAGAGCACAGTTGGAGGACCATTAGTCTGAGAGCTAAAGAGCAGAAATTGTCCAGGACAGCAATGCAGGCAATAGCACACTGCACTTGTAGATACTGTCAGCCCAGCAGTTCCCATACTGTGCTCAGCTGCTTGGTGGCTGATCCGTGTGATGGGCAATATCACCCTGACAGGTTGATAGAGTGGCTGCTGATGTGGCTAAACTAACGCAGAGGAGGCCACAGAGCAGCATGTTCAGTGACAGAGCCTTGCCCAGGCTGGGCCAGGTAACACCCAAAAAGCCCATGCAAGGGGTGCCCAGTTCTTTAGCACCTCTGTTGGGCCCAAGCCTTGCACACTGTAAATTAACATTACATTTACCCTCCCAGGAAAATGGCACTGGTGGTTTTGTGTCTTACCTGAAAGAGGTTTTGCTTCAATGGGCTCACATATTTCACCAACCTTCTCCACGCTATTACAGATCGTGGGTTTTTTCTCCTCGTAGCTCCTGAGTGTTTGCAGAAGTTTTTTTGCATTCCAAGTGCCAGAATCTTCCTTCCCTCTCTCTTTCTTCAGACTTCGTTTTGATTTCCGGATACTTAACATTGTTTTAATACCTCTTTCAAAGAACCCACTGTCCCTGCTCTGCGAATCTGAGCTGCTCAGTTCAGAAGCGACCTCCATCTTTTCCTCCCCTGGACTGTTCAGTGGAGAGGCTGGTTCTGAGGTCACACTCCTTGTGTCTAACTCCATATTTCTATTTATCTGGTCCTTCAACAGGAGGTTTACCAAACAGGTTGATGGCAATCACTGAAATGCATAAAACAGCAGAATTAGAGATGTCCTTAATAGGGTATTACTGTGTCTCCAAAGTCAGTCCTGGACTGAAAATCTGACCCGTTCCTTTCTGTGCCTAAATACAAGGACAGAGCAAGATGTTGCAGCCTGTAGCTGCTGAAACAATCTCTCTACCCACAGACAGCAGATGCTGGCCTGCACCTGGTGCTCTGGAAAGCTTCAATTAACTCCATAAAACAGGCAAGTGGCAACTATTTCTCCAGCACCAAGGAATCATGAGATATCAGAGATGTTGAAATCTGTGTAAACATACCATTTCAGTGGGTAACCAGATATGGCTTTACTTTCCATTCTTCTAAATGGATTTCCAGCCATGCAGGAATAATAATCTTCCTGAATCTCACTGGGTTGTTTCCACTTTCTGATGTGAATATGGCATCTTTGGGTTTTGTTGCTACTTCTGCCCAGCTCAAAACCTGAGCTGCTGCTGCTGCTGGAGGTGGCCCAGAGGTGAATGGTACCCAGCAGGTGGCTGAGCTCTGCTCTAGCCCCTTCCACCAAAGCAACAACTACCTCTGCACTCTGAATCGTCATGGTTACAGCACAGGAGGCAATACAAGGCAGGAGGGGCTCACAGCACTCATCCTGCCTCAGAGCACTGCATCCCAGTATGCCAAGGAGGGTATCTCCAGGGTCAAACAAACTCTGCACAAGCCGCAGGAGATGCTGCAGGAGATTCCAGATTTCAGCAGAAGTGCTCCTGTCAGTGCTGCTGGGCTGCAGTCACAGCCTCTGCACTTGCTCAGCTCCTGCCCTGCTGCAGACAACCTCCCCTCTGCCCACCCTGAGGGCTGCCCAGGTGTTTGGGAAGAGGGAGGAGAGAGGTTTTGCCTTCCCTCCTTGCAAAAGGCTCCCAGACCACCAGCTGATACAGCCCATTCACAGAGCCATTGTACATTGCAGTGCCCTGAGGATGGAAAATGTCACATTTCTCCAGAGCAGGCTCAAGGCAGCTGAGTGAACAGTTCAAATGAATAGAAACAGCTATTGCTTGAGGTGACACAGGAACTGCCTGTGTTGGGTCTGTCCAGCCCACAGAAGCCAGAGATTGAAAAAAAATTGCAGTCAATAGACATGTTGGGACTCTGGAAATAGAGCTCATCCTTTCTCAGTCAGAATTTTGCTCCCTTGTGCGTGGTTATTTCACAGGCTGTGAAGTGCAGGGATGACATCTTCCCATGGGTTTGCTGAGCTGCTTGCCCAGTGGGGCTCAGACCCTACCTCACACACTCTCACAGGAGGGAGTATTTAACCATTCACTGCCTTGCTCAGGAGCTCACCCATCACAGCCCATACAGCGGATGGGAGGGACAGGAGGGCACCCCACTGTCCAGGGATTTCAATGAAAGGAGGCTGAGATCTCAGCTCAGACTCTGCATGGGGGTTCTGCAGACAGAGTGGAGCAGCAGCAATGGTCAAAGGGGTGACCGAGATGGTGGAGAGAGCCAGGGGAAAAGGAATAAAAGATCTGAGCCCGTGAGAAAGGAAAGGAATACATACCCCACTACTGACAGAAGTGATCCCTCCACAGCAAGCTGGGATAGCACAGGTGTGATCCACAGAAACTGAGAGCAGCTCCGTGCTGCAGGAAATCCAGGGCAGATGCAGTGGTGGGTGAGCAGCTCTGCAGGACAGAGCTCCGGGCCAGCTCATCCACCTCAGCTGACTGGGGCACCATCCCTCACACATGTGCTGGCTGAGGGGCTCCCTCTGGGAATGGTGCTGCTCTCCATCCTCCTTTACCCTCTGAAAAAGGCTGTTAAAAGTGAAAAAAAAAGGCTCCTGCCCAAGAGCCGCAGCACCTTCACTTGTTTGATCTCTGGAAAAGACTCGGCACTGTTTCACTTTCACTACGTCTGAGCATTTAAAAGAAAAGGTAGGGGAAAAAAAAATTCCAGGTTAATTATTAACTACAAGTGGAGACAGGGCTTTGAATCTGAGGTTCTGCGATGGGGTGAGCTGCTGCCTTGAGATGGCCTGGGGCAATGAAAGGAAGAGGATTTCAGGATGAAGTCCAGTCCGGATGGGCTGAAGCCCCACATTATCTGGGTAGAGGGGTTCAAAAGCAGCCCCAGAGCTGCTGTGTGGGATGGCTGCATTTCACCCCCTTCTGCCCTGTTTGTGCAGGTCACGGGTGGCTTGGTCCCAGTAATGATTGCCAGACGTGGGTGAGGGACAGAGAGTAATGTGTCCCCTGATTAAATATTTATATATTCACATCCTCACTTTGCCCTGTGGGCACTTATTTCCATGGGGTTCCTGGCCCTGGATCCCTCCATTCTCAGAGCATTTGGGAACCTTAGAGGGAACTCAAAGCAAAAGAGCATGAAAAAAGGGGCCTTGAAGGTTTTAACAAGATTAAACACAGTCACTTGGTTTGTCACTGAGTTGTGTAAAATGATTTAACCCTGGGGCTCCTTTAGTGCCCAGGTAGAGGCAAGTCAGGCTGCCAGATGTCCAAGGTCCTGGTGTAAAGCAAGAGGGGTAAATCAGGAGGTGCCACCATGCCATGGGCAGTGTGCATTCCTTTGCTTTAGGAGCCTGCCAGCATGACACCTGTCAGTGTGATAAGGGACACCAAAGAGATTAGTGATAGAAAGATGCAATAAATGGCATTTGGACTTTGTGCTGTGCAGAGGAGAACAGCAAGAGAATGGAGGATAACAGTCTCCTATACCTCTGGAAGAGACTGTGTGTCCAGAAGAGGGAAAGTGTGTGGGATGGGAATAATTATGATCATATTAAACAGGGAAGCGTGGCAGCATGGACTTGGTGTGAAATTGCCCTGATGGTGAAATGGGACTGGGCAGAGCATCATTTGTGGCTGCCCCATGGTGCAGGGGGAGTCCTGCCTGAAGCCTCCCTCAGCCAGGCAGTGCAGTGCTGAGCTTTCTGTCCTTGGGCTCTTCAAAGTCATGTGTAAGCCAGAGACTGCCCTGCTGTACTGGGGAAAACCATTACTGATAATGCTTCTGCCACCTGGCAGGCTGACAATGTGAACAAAGGAATGAGCTATTTATTCAGACACATGTTGAAGGGTGGAAAGCCCCTTTGGACACAAAGTCCAACTAAACCTCTTTCCATCCAGGTTTTAATTGCCTCATCCACAAAATGTTTACCTGGTGTTGGTTTGTACAGACAGGCTTACTGTGACTGGCGTGCTGCCAGAGCAGGCAGCAGGTCCAGCATGGATGGGGTCTGATCTGGGTCTCTCTGGGGGCTCTCAACTACCCCAAGACACAGCTGGCACCAGGGCCTGCTGGGATGTCAGACAGAATCCTGAGGGAGCTCTGAATCTAACAGTCTAGGTCACCTCTTTCCCTACAAGCCTTTCTGCTGCTCTCTCCTAGCAGCAGCTCTCAAGGAATGCTCCTGTTCCTGGAAATGCCATCAGAGCAATGCTGTTTCTAGGTGTCTGTCCACAGAAGATCATGGGAAATGAAAAATGTACTAGGTTTTGCATTTGTTTTCCATTTTTCTTCAATTATGGCTTTTGCAAAGTGTTCTGTCAAGTTGCAGGTGCATTAAAATCTGCAGGGGTGTTGCTGTCTAACAGCTCCCTAATGCCCTGCACCCACAAACCTCTGTGAGGCTTTCAACTGCTGCTTTGCCTCCTGACCCTTTGGAATATTTGGTTTGGGGTTTATTTGATCCTTCATCTCTTCTCTGTGTCTTTTGCTCATATTTCTTTTCGTCTTTCTTTTCCTGCAATAACGCCTGTGGAGCAGTGTAGGACTCAGAGGTGCAGAGCTCCTTGGCAGAGGTGAGGGGAGTGAAGAGTGATTTGGGGGAGTCTTGGAATTCCCTCCACAGCACTGAGGTTTTCATCAGCTCCAAAGACCAGGAGAAAAACATATTGCTGAGGTTCCAGGGGAATACTGCTATGATGCATATTCAGAAAGCTGCACCATATGCCCCCTCACAGCCTCAGCTACCCAACTGGCACAGCCCTGGTGGGGCATGCGGTGAACCACTCCCTTTCTGCAGGTTTCACTTGAAATCTCACCCTGTGTGGGTGGAGGAGACCCCAGAGCTGCAGTGATTTATTGCAGCAGTGAGGTTTGATATTTTTAACAGCATCGGCAGTGATGGATGAGGCAAAGACATGCTTGGAGGCTGCACATGCCTATGCAGCCATTTCCTCCTGAGGGGTGGTTTGTAAGGAAATGAGAGATATTGTTTCACCTGAAATATTTTTCTTTCTGCTTTTAGGTTGAGGGAAGTTTGAGCCTTAAGCTGAAAAGTCCATTTGCAGGAAAGAAGCAGGTTGTGATTTAGAGGCTGGCTTTTACAGAAGGGATGCTGGCCCCCAGGTTTGAGTGGAAGAATTTGGAAGGTGCATTTCTGCAAAACACAGGAGTGTTACCACATCTGGGAGAGGATGTGGTCCAGACCTAAGGATCGTGTCCTACACTGTTCCTGTGTAGCCATGGGAGGAGACCACTTGAACTAGTATACATCACACCAGGGAACAAAATCACAAGTGCTCATTTTGTTGCAGAAGCGTGGTCCAGGAGGATTTTCCATGAGGGCTGCCACTGCTGTGGAAGTCCATCCTAGGTGCTTTTGAAGGACAGACATCAAAGTTTTCCTTCCTCTCCTCCTAGAAAAGGTCTGGAACAGGCCTGTTCAAGCAGGAACTCTCACACTGGTTTTCTTCTTTTGAAGTGAAATTGTTTTAACACTTTCAGCAAGCCACCAGCCCCATGTGCTATGCCAGCTGTGCTGAATCATGCCAGGACTCATGTGAGCCCAACAGGAACGGCAGGGCTGGGAGACAGGCTTCACCACTCTCCTGATTCTTGCCGCAACAGCCCCACAAGAACGTTTTTTGGTCAGCAGGCACAGACCAGCCCCCACTGGCTCCAGAGCTGCGTGGTGCAGCCAGGACCGGG